TGCGATTACGACGGCTGCGACAGTAGAGAAGAAATCTACAGCAATGTTGCAATGATGCTACTACAGCAAAGGAGGAAACTGCAATAGAGGAGGAAGCTGTAGCAGAAGAGGAAGTTGTAGCAGAAGAGGAAGGTAAATAGCTACAACGAGGAAGAAAGGTGGGGCAGTGCTGATGAGCAGCACTAGAGATGCCGTAGCGGAAGGGAACGGACGTTGGCGTAGAGTGACAACACCAATGATGAATTGGCAGCGAGAAGAGAGCTTGCTCTAGGCAAGCGGCTCTGATACCATGATAGAAATAATAGAAGAAAAGAACAATAATTGAAGAAGCTTTATTGTAGAAATGAAATAGCTTTAGCTTAAATCTATTAATATGTTCCCTCTCCTATTTATACAGATTAGGAGGAAGGATTTCCCTCAACAGAATAAACAGAATAGAGAGATTTCCTCATATAATTGGGGAAATCTTATCCTCTATCAAGTTGGGGAAATCTTATCTTCTATCAGTTACGTTCTTTTTGTTCTTTAATTTTTGTTTCGTGAATATTTTAAATTTCATAGTGAGGAGTTCAAGTTCACCATCACTTGAGCTTATGCTCGAGTGGTCTTCAATTGTTCTAAGTCTGAAATCCTTCCTATTCTTTGGAAGGTTGTCCTAAGTTCGTTTTGTGCCACATTGCTCATTTCGTAGGTCATTAAAGACTCGATAAGTTTTTCGAGTAAAAACTTGTTTAAGTTTTTTGCCTCTTATATAGTAGTTACTTTTAAATCCCAGTTCTTATTAAGAGAACGTAAAATTTTGTTTATAAGTTCAAAATATGAAAAACTTTTACCAAGTGCTTTTAAACCATTGACGATATTCGTAAAACGGGTGTACATGTCTCCAATGGTTTCGCTTGGTTTCATATGAAAAAGTTTAAAATCATGCATTAAAATATTAACTTTAAAATCTTTTACTCTTCTCATGCCTTCATGTGTGATTTTGAGAGTATGCTATATATCGAAAGTCATTTTGCACATAGAAATTCGATTGAATTCTTTTTTGTCTAAGACTCAAAATAGAGCATTCATAGCTCTAGCATTTAAAGAAAAAGCATTCTTCTCCAAATCATTCCAATGGTTCATTGGAATAGAAGACCTTTGAAAACTATTTTCAATAATATTCCATAAATTAAGGTTCAAGGAAGCAAGAAAATTCTCATTCGAGTTTTTCAATATGTGTAATCCGACCCATTGAACATGGGAGGATGAATGAGAGAGTAACCCTCTTAAAAGCTGAAAAGAGTCATTTCTCTTTGGGTGTTAAACCAAATGAGAAAACGAATGTGGCTCTGATACCAACTGTTAGGAACGAGTCAGCACTAAGGGGGGGCGGGGGGCTGAATTAGTACAGCGGTAAAAACATTAGTTCGAAAAATCTTCGTATGATTAAAACCGATCGGAAATATGTTTAACTTAAAAACACTTACGTAAGCATATAATGAGGAAATAGAGCAGTGAGAGTAAAGAAGGGCAGTTTACAGTAAATGTAAATTGCAAGAAGTAAATACAAACTGAATTATAGTGGTTCAATCATCATGACCTATATTCACTCCACCGATTCCTCTTCTGTCAAGGCCACCGGTATCCACTAACGATCTTCCTTTAATAGGCAAAGATCATTTTCCTTCTTACAACTCTATTCTCCTTTTGCAGGCTTAGGAGAGAATATTTACACCCTTTTTACAAAGCTTCCCTCACACTCTCACTTAGAATGGTCTCTAAACTTTAGGAGGAGAGACTCTATACTTTATAAGGGTTTTCAACTCTAGAAATATAGAGTTTTTGTTCACTTTTCTTGCTACTCCATGTAGGAATAGCTGGGGTATTTATAGACCCCAAATGGCTTCAAAACTTGGAGCCAAAATTTAAATCCTTGAAATTTTAAGGTACGGGTGGTACCACCGCTTGTAGCATAACACTGGATGGTACCACCACCTAGTCTGGTGGTACCACCACCTAAAAGATTGTGTCTGGGCGGTACCATCACCTTGGAGACTGTGCCATGACGGTTTCACCTGTTTGGGCCTTTCTCTTGGCCCAACATAGCCCAAACTTAGGCCCAATTGTCCCCTAATTGGGTTGGCCCAATTCTAATCCTAATTATGTGCTAACTATAAAATTTAAGGCATAAACTAAGCAAATCCGATCTGATTAGTCGAGGTTTCTTCAAGCGAGCATCCGACGATCTTCCGGTGACATCCGACGATCTCTCGGTAATGTTCTAACGGACTCTCGGTAAGCTCCTGGACTTCATCACGATCTTCTTAGTGAGTTTCGATAAGCTTCTTTGGCAAGCTCCTAGACTTCTTGGTCAATTCGGTAGAACTTTCGATGAACATCCAGACTTCCGACGAACTCTCGAACTCCCAACGAAATCGCGTTCTTGACTCCGGGACTTCATTTTGCTTTATGCCTTGCTATCGTAGTTAATCCTATATACATAAAAACCTACTTCGATCTAGACAATTATTACAAAGCTTTAAATCATGTTATCTGGCATGTCATTGGGTCATCGACGCTTCGTCTGATTCTTCGGTGCATCGTCCTCTCTTGTTGCCTATTGCCCAATTGGCCAATAAACCTCCACAACTCAAATTTACTTAGCGTAATTTTTGCTCTTCTTGGCCCGATGCCCGAACCTATGGATTGAAGCCTTCTACGGATATGTCGACCGATCCTTCGGCTCGATGTCCAATCTTCTAACATGTTTTTCTCCGGCCCAACATGATTCTTCCTGCTTCAATTATCTCTCCCTGATCGAAGCTTCCTACGTCACTCAAAACGCATATCAAATCATAAACACTTATCAATTAGTTTCATCATCAAAATTCGAGATTCAATAATAACTCCCTCCGATATGTGAATCAGTGACCCTTGGCGAATCTCTAGTGGGGATCAAAATCCAATCGGCGTCTTAACATAACCTCGAGGGACTCGACCAATCACGTTCTGTTTGTAAAGGTATGCAACTCTTGCCGATCACAACTTCTTGTGATTCCTGTCTTATTCGACCTCCGAATCACCATGGTCTCGAGAGACTTGACTAACCATGATGTTCAGTTAAGTCAATACTATCTTTATAAGATGAGTTTGATTTGATGATATACCTTTGAAGAACTCAACCAAGCATACCATATCCTTAGGTCACTAGTAATATCTCTATGTCGTATGCAAGATAACGAATCGCGATATAGGTGAACCTCGAGAGACTCAACTAATTCAATATATGTCGGAAATCGGTCCCTACCTATAACGATGGAAGGTCATGTGAGCACCTATGACTATCTCTCTAGTGCAAGAGGGTAGCAAGAAGAAGGACTATCCTTGTTGCGTGGTGGTAAACATGTTACTACTACAATTGGTCATGATGAATATATTAAATAATTATGAGTTTAAATAAATATTTATTTCTTAAAATAATTTAATTTAGAATCAAATTAGTCTATGAAATTAATCAAAAATTTCTAATTTAAGTTAATTGAATACGACATAATTATGTACCGGGACTTAAATTAACTAAACGAAACATGTATATATACACATACAATTTGAAGACATTAAAAATAGAACTTTTAAATTTTTAAGAAAGTTAAGAGACCTACCTCTCCTTAGCGAGATTCCTCTCGTTATATCTCCCACTACCTTGCAATTGGTGAGCAACGAGGAAGAATAACCCTCTTTAAATAGGAGGAGATTAGACCTCTACAAAATGATAGGAATTAATTTAATTTTATATTTAAATAATGATTGAAAACATTTGATAAGTCTTGGATATTATTTTTATTATTTTCAGGCTCCTTAGATATATTTTTATTCTATATTTATTTTTAAAATAAACTACTGTCGGTTCTAAGAGTCAAATTTTATTATTACAAATAAAATAGATGTTATCTTTTTTTTTTTTGGTCATTAATCAGTACTACGATTTGTTAGAGGTTCCGTTCCTCTCAGATGGGGGCAGGAAGAGATCTCTGCACCTTCAATATGCTTCTGGTTAACATCATTCTTCCTTTGACATCTCTTATCACCTCAACGATGGAAGGGCGTAGATAAGAGAGAGAGGCCAGTGACAGAAATGGACGGGAGAAGAGGGAGGAGTCTCACCGTACTGGTCCCCGTCCTATTAAATCTACCTCGTTCGTCGAGGATCGGACGGTCCTTTTCCTTCCGTTGGGACCCGCAAGGACCCTCCTCGTAAATCCCACCCTCTTTGCCCATTTCTTTTTCCTTTGTCTTTTCTTTCTTTTCCTATTTCTTTTTTGATTCCACCGACACAGACTCAGAAGAACGTTATATATATATATATATAGAGAGAGAGAGAGAGAGAGTTGATAATGAATTGATACGCATTACAAGTCTGTCTTCTGACAGTTCCATTGGAGCAACTTATCTGGAATGCAATGTTGCACTCATGAATGGTTAACCATCCGTTTTCTTCTTCTCTGTGCTGGAGATAACACTGGTGCATCTTCCGACCTGGCATTTTGTAGAGATGAACAGCAGTTGGTGTTTCACCTGTTCTCATTTGACCATCTCATTCGGAGCATTTATTACTTTCTTAGCTCCCTTAGCTACAAGGAAAGTAACAAAGGGTATCGATTTCCCGAATAAAAGAAGTCGACCCACTGTCCCACTGGCAAAATGAACTCACCATTTTGTCCGGTCTCATACTTTGTGTGTCCTTGTGGAAGGATGTTCAAAGGAGAGGGCAGCATCTCACGTTGTCACCCCCTCCGTTGATTCCAACTGTACCCAATTACTCTTTGCATTTATTTGATTTTGTTGGATTTCAATCCAAAATTGTCTTTTCTTTCAATGCGTTCAACCTTCCAACTCCCACACAATCACACCTTTTAGTTCCGGCTGGATGAGTGCATTTTCCACCCATTTTAGGCGTATTATACAGCGCACGCAATCATACCTTGCAGTATTTTGTTCTTGAGATGATCAACGAAGTCTTGAGTCCCAAAGTATCATGTATATTAGGTTTCCTTGGGAAGCTTGGGCTAATAGGGTTCACCCATTTACATTGGCTTCAGCAACAGAAGACTCCGATGGAGAGAGAGAGAGAGAGAGAGAGAGAGGGGCAAGCAGCACCTGAGAGAGAAACTAGGATTGACGAAGAGAGTTCTGATGAGGAGATCGGAAAACATATAATGAAATGCTCGAGGAACCAGTCAACACTAGCAGGCAGGCACCCACCCACCACCAGGAGCTAGCGGCTGGCGGCCACCATCAGCTCTTTCTGTTCTTGCCGGCGCTGGTGTTGCCCCGATGGAAGTCGAGCAGCACCGTGCTGTTGCACTTGGGGCACTTGGGGTCCTTCTCGGAGAGCATGACGTACATGAGGCACCGGGGGCACCCCGCGAGCACCATGGACGTCGCCTCCGGGCTGCCCAACTTCTGCTCGCCTTCCGACGACACGCACGAGCTGGGCGGAGACCGCGACGACGACGACGAAGACGACGAGTCCTCCTCTTCCTCCTCCTCCTCCTCCACCACCGCCCTCGTCGATGGCCCCCCTCTCGCCCTCATCTGCTTCCCCGTAAAGTTCAACTTGGGGTTCTTCCCATGGTTGCGGCTCATCTCCTGTTCACAACAGTCAGCCCGGTCAAACCTGTGTGTCGCAGTCAAACATAGAGAATTCACGGGTGGAAGAGAAAGAGTGCACCTTCAAGCCAAGAACACCACGGCACAGGCTGATGGAGGAGGCAATCTTCTAAGCGTGGGACACGGGGACGACAACAGCTCTGTCCTCCAACGTTACCATCATGTTGCTTCTGGTTCCTCGGCTGGTGGTGCACCCTCTCATGTCATGCCATTATATACAACAAAAGGATTCAAGGTTGATGGGTTTTCTTTAATACAACAGCAGATCACTTTATTGTTCTTGTTGTTGAGTGCATGTAGAATCGAGAAAAGGGAAAAGCTGGAGGCTTTAATGGAATTTAAATACAGGCCTGTGCGAGTATTGATTGTTTGAGATAACCACAAATGGTTTTGCTGTGGATAAAACTGCATGCATCTCGAGAGCACAGTTCTCCTCCCCCCCCCCCCACTCTCTCTCTCTCTCTCTCTCTCTCTC